GGCTGCCCGGGGCAGGGGGTATCGAGCACGGGGCGGGCTGCCCGGGGCAGGCCACAGCGCAGGGGGCATGGGCCAGGGCATGCAGGGCAGAAGGCGCAGGGCGCTCGCCCTCGCCCTGGGAAGGCTGCAGCGCCCACCTCCCACGCGAATTGCACCCGTGTGTGGGCTTCGCTGCTGCGCCAGCCTGGGAAAAGGCACCCGGAATAGCACAGCAGCATCAGTGAAAGCACTGGGCTTGGCAGCTCCACGTAGCCACATCCGGTGTCCGTCCACAGCGTGGGCCCAGCTGTGACACTCCTTCGCCCTGCCTTGGCACACACCAGTGCCGCCTTACCTTGCAGGCACGCCAGCGCCTTCCCTTTGGGACCTGACCTGAAGCGAGGAGACCGTCGTCAGGTAGTGAAAAAGCTGATGAATTCTCCATGCCCGTCCTGCCTGGGACCACCTTTGAAGCAGGCCTGCTAGTTCCAGTTGTTGCAATCTGTGAGACAGATTAATTATGTAGGCCGGATTTCAACCTGCCTTTGAGCTTTGATTGTAGGTATCATCTCTCCCCCAGTAACATTTCCATCCAGTGCCTGCTCCAGGTGTCTTTGCCCCCAGCTGATGTGTTGGGGGCACAGAGACCCGTTCTGGGGCAGTCTCTCCTGCTGGGACTGACAACTGCTAATTCATTTACCCCTCCCAGATGGAGGCGAGAGCTGCAGGTGAAAGGCTTATGTTTTAAGGGAGAATAATTTGCACAAAGATCAGAAATCCATTTGTCTCTATTAAAATATTTACTTATCTATAAACAGGTTTGTTTGAATAATTAGATTATTTGCAAAAAAAAAAAAATAAAGTGGGGATCATCAAAGAAGTGCCCACAGATTTATTCACCGCCCTAACAGCTGCAGAGATAGTACCAGTGGGGAAGGAAGCCTTTGGTAACAAGAACACTAACAGCTGAATGAGAAGTCCAGCACTCCCTCCCTGCAGCTTATCAGAAATCCTTCTGGTGCTGAAACCTTCTCAACAGATCAACATTGAGTACATAAAACCATTGCTAAATAACAACTGCTATGTACTGCTCTGGCCCATTCTATCTGAGGGTTTCAAATGTTGTTCATACAAGCCTCGCAGCACACCCAAGGAGAAGTCTGGATAAGTACCGTTCCTCTTTTATAATCAGAATTATGACCCAGAGATTAAATGACTGGGACAAGGATGCAGTGAGCCAGGTGCAGAGAGCAAACGCTCTGTGGAAGTAAATCAGCACAGCTTCAAGTTTATGAAGGTATTCTGACTAATGGAAATAAGACAGAAAACTTCACAAACATTAATTTGTTATAAATAAGTTCTTACACAGTCGATCGTTATTAGAAATTGTCCCATTAAATCTAATAAAGGTTTGCTTAACTAAGTAGCAGACGTTCCTCCACAGTGCTAGCAACCCAAACCGTGTGGCACTGCACTAGTTCAACAGTCAAAAAGAGGAACGAATCAGAAGGAACCAAAACGAAAGTGAAACTGGCACGAAAGTGAAACCAGCAGACCTTTTGGTTATTATCCACTTTTAGTTAAATGTATAGTGTAAACAAATTGCACAGAATAAAAATATGTTAGTAGACTGGATTTTCAGAATTTTGGTAAGAATATTACTTTGTTTGGCTTGAACACAGAATACATGTCGACACACATGCATGTGAGAAAACTTAACAGCATGTCTTATTTGTATTCCCTAGCTTCAGTGGATAAATTTGCTCCAAAATACCCTAAGGTCAAGAAAATAAAATTATTTTTTAAATACAGTCTATTATGAACTTGGACAGCAAGTCTGAAATCTTGATTCCATCTTAAGTATTAAAATTGCCATAAAGAAAAGTTTTTGATCGTAAACAGGCTAGGATCTCAGTACAAATTTTCTCATGGCAGATTTTTTTTTTTTCTAAGTTCTGTCCTCTGGATTGTTTTAAAAGGACCTTTTCTGAACTGTTCTTAACCACAGATTCTGTAGCTGTGCATGACTAAGTGCTCCGCTGTGTCTGCCTATCCTACGTTGCGTTTGATGATGTGGCCACACAGAAAGGAAAATCTAAGCCCTTTCTGTTGAGCAAAGGCAAGGAAAGAGGGAGTCTATTGAAAAGCTTCCACAGAAGGTCATCACATGTCGTTCCTGCTCATTTGGAAATACCTCCAAGCAGAGCTGAAAGTGCTGTCTATGCTTAAGGTCACCTAACATTTTCTATTATAAGGCCCCTTCTTCAGTAGCTCATAAAACTAAATAAAAATGTAATTATCCACACTGGAATTTTCCATATGAAGTATCTGATTCTGACTGGCTTATTATTTTTTGGGGGGTGGGTGGGAAAAGATATCAAATTAAAGAGAAGAGAAACAGATTAATAAAAATAATGCACCTCACTGAAAGAACGGGATTGGAAAAAATATGATTTTTTTCTGAGAGAATTCTCGTTCTATCTTTTACATTTTAGGAATTTGCAGATCAAAAACTACACTAAAGAATGCTAAGGCAGCAAAATCAGGCACTCAAATGCTAGGTAGTTCTAGTTTATGGAGCTTTTAACGGACTTCTTTATGTACATGCATTCTATGCGATCTGTAACACCACGGGAATCTTTCAAGCAAAAGTTATTCAGTATGTTATCTTATCCTTGCCATTCAGCGTATTGCTGATGGCTTCACTTATTGCACGATCATCACATCTTTCTCTGCAGATGGAATTAGTCATTTCCTCCTGGGCTTTTCCATGCTCATCTCTATGTTATCTGAATACTTCACAGACGTTAATGAATGTATCGTCACAAAAGAGTGGAAGATGCAGTTAATGACTATCTGGGAAAATTTGGCTGAAGTAACTTACCTGGTATCATCTAGCTATTTGTAGCTAATGGAGAGATGTGCTCAATCGTGCAAGGAACTATCCAGCTGCTCTAACTGGTCAATCATCCCTTCTCCTCCTGAAAACCTTCTCAAGCTCATGCCTTGCAACTTCTGTAATAAATGAAACAGAGTTTTAACAACATAAATGCCCTTCATGACTCAGCTCTGACTCTTTGCAGTAGAAGTCTAGTACTAAATTAAGCAGGAGACTTGTATAAAAATAGTATGATTACTGATATAAGTAAGTTATATTGTAATGCATACATCCTAAGGAGCTCAATAAAAGCTACTTCAGGGCAAACTTAATCTGACATTTCCTAACTTCTAAGTGCTTCAGTTTGTATCCTGGACACACTTAGATATATTTTGCATGTGTTGTCTATGTTTGTGTATGCTACATGCAAAAATTAGATTTGTCTGATCATACCAGAGGAGCCAAGACCTAAATGGCACCTGGCAAACCAAAGCACAAGAACACCAACGTGCAACTCATGCTGTTTTTGCTGAGCCTATTACAGGACTATCAGATTTCAGATTACTCATCACTTTCAAAAAGCAACAACAATATAATGGAAAAAATGGTGATTTAGACTGTCAAAATACAAGGGATGAAATCCACAGCTGGGACAAACATTTCTTGCAGTCTAGGTTGGTGATGTGAGCTGCAGTTTTTTAGAATAGGTCTATGTATGTAAGTAGGGTAGACCACCGATTCTTCCCCTAACCACCTCTCTCTTTCATACTATATGTAATCCTGCAAACCATGCAGGTGTACAGAATGTTGTTCTAGATGGTCCCATTTTTAAGACTGTATAGCTATTCTGCTATCAAACTTGCTTTTCAAACAATATCTCTTAGCCACAGGCACTTTGCAGGGACTCACAGGACCTTCCTACTGCTTTATAGTCAATTGTTCAGATGGCCAGTTGAGTCTTTATACTGCAGAAATGTTACAAACTCAGTTTTTAGCAGGTCAGATAAAAAATAAAGACAACAAAACTGAATTATAAGAGGACTTCACTGAAAATAAAACAGCGATGGTCTAAAGCAGAGTACTTGTTAAAATACAGCTTTTAAAATAAATGTTTGCAGATAGGTTTGAATAGTTGAGGCATGTGCTGCATTAACTGCTTTAGTAAGAGGCAAAACCCTCCCTCTGGCTGTCTCGTAACATCTTTCGCAACCCTTTAATCTCCAAGGAGAGCTGTTTGTTCTGAAACCTTGAGCTCACTGGGCTCTTCACTACTAAGCCAGCTCCTGTCTTTGGCAGCTGAAAGTACAAACTAGTGCCATTAGACATTCGTATCGGATAGAGAGATGTTTCCTGATTAAACTCATTTATTGTGAGCTTCTGGACCCAAGCAACGTAGCAGCTTGGGAACATATCCAAATTCCATCAACTGTGTATTCATCTACCTCTGGAGGATTATACTAAGAAAGGTTTCTGCTGAATCATTTGACCCTGTTACTAGGGACAGCAATAGACCAGAACACTTAAGTCATTTGGATTGACTTTGTGAACACTTAATGGAGAGTTTTTAAAACTCTGCATATGTGCTAAAAGTACAGAGAGGTCCAATTTCTACCCTGTTACACACCACACTTACAAAGACACTGGGCTATACGCGCAATGCTGCAGAACACGGACTTTCAGGGTCGAGGACACCAAAAAGCAATAGCAGTTTGTTCTGAAGTCAGTGTTGTCCTCTGGAAAAAGCTTTCCATGTAGACCGCATGGCTTAAGCGATGCTATTCTGGGTTACGCTGCTCTTCCTTATCTGGGCTACTCTTGAAAACAATTTAGAGGCAGGAAATAATTGCAGGGTGCAAAGGCCCTTCCTTCCCTGAGAGGGTCACCACTGAGGTTTCTGCTGCGCTAACTTGTGACAACTGCTTTTTCTTCAGAGCCTAACTGATAACTCTTGTATACTTCTGGAATGGCAAATTTCCATTATATTATCTGATGGTGTTAGAATTACTTTTCCATTTCTATCTGTAGTTCTCAAACTCCCAGTTAGATCCTTTGATTAATATTTTTTTCATCTTCTCCAAAGATTAACTGTAACCTATGAGAATTGCAAGTTTTTGTTTCCTTTACAAGTATATATGGTTTCAGAGAGGTGTATTTTTACCTCTTTGGAGGGAATGCTGAGGGCATTTTAACTTTCTTATTTGTTTAGTATTTTCTACCTAGTCCTTTAGGAAGCATTAGATGATATTCAGATGGTACATATATTAATCTCTACTATAATCCTGTTGAAGTAAGCTTAAAATCAATGGAGTTAATGGATGAATGAAATTGCTTCCATGTGCTATGAGTGGTGATTTTGGATAACATCTTAAACATGAAGTTGGGTTGTGAGAAACAATTTAAGCATTTTGAATAGCACAACAAATACAAAGTCTTACTGTATGCAGTAAAAGGTGTTTCCTTATTTTCAGGTTTGCTGAGGGCACTATATAAAGTTCAAATATTAATAATTATGATATGATCACGATCGTAACAAGGAAAATAAGCAGTGGTTATAGGTCCCATTATATGTCCTTACACGCGCCCTTTCAAAAAAAAGAGGGGGGAGGAGAAAAGACAAGACTCCGGAGGAGACAAAAATTGCCATTTTAAGGATGACACTACCTTACAATGCCATCTGTTTGCAGAAGGGGACAAGGTTATCACATAATATCCTGAAGATCATCTTCTCTACTAGGGATATGATAGATTTAAAGAAAAACAACTTCAGTCGTCCAAATTTGAAAGAATAACTGCAATACTGCTGAAGACGTGACAGTCTCCTTTTTCCTGTTATTCTGCTTACTTCCTTTCTGCTTATACAGTAAACAGCCTCAACTCATACAAAACCATCCACAGAATTTTTGCAATATGTGAGCATTAATAAGTTTAGCTTTCTTGGAATATTCGTAACTAAGACTTTTTCCCCGTTTCCAAAATTACTCCCATTCATTTCCTTGTAGGGGGGGTCTGGAGTAGGAGGCAGTGGGGGGCTCAGAAGGAGCAGCTATTGGGTGTTTCCACTGTTGACACAAGGATGTTCTTTCAAAACTTACAATACAGCTCTAGAGAAAACATGCTGGCTGCACACTGTTACTTAGGAGTGGCTTGATCACATCTCTCTGTCTGACGCTTGCCACTAACCCTACGTACTAATCTTCTGGTGGTTGGAGACAATGCTGCTGTTTCACATTGCCATCTCGCAGCAGTGGCCGGTGCACATGCATCAGTTATGTTTTCATGTTTTTTTCCCATTAGAAAGTAGCTTTTATGGATTATCTCTTCCTAGTTGTGGCTGTTGAGAGAAAAATTAACGTCTGAATGAGGGCTTTTTACCACCAAGATAACAAGTCACATTCAAGCCAAAGTTTTTTTTCTTAATTTGAAAATAGTTGGTTTTAGAGCCTCCTGGATACGTAAGCTCATTAAATGCCTTTTGAAACCCCAGCTATATTTCTTTCTATAGTTAAATAATATTATTCACTACTTATACTATCTATAAACTTTCAAATATAAATCAGATGAGGAACCTGGGCTGGGGATTTTGTGCCACTACAGTGAAACGCTCATGTTATCCTCAGGTTCCCCATTATCTATCATCATTATTTGCCTCCCTCATTATAATATTATTCTTTCTCATACACTCTTCCGTTATTTAGCTCTGCATCAGGTTGGATCATTGGGGCATTACTAGACAAAGTGATGCGACATTTCCTCGATCAAACAAAAACCTGTGTTAAATAGGGAGTTACCCTGTGAAAGCCTGTGTCAGCGCAGGGGACAGAACTCTGTTTTCTGAGCTCCAGATCATAAATTCTAATCATTTGTCCCTCCGGCTAGCAGGGTGAGACTCTTGGCTTCCAGTGTAGCAGATATGAATTTTCATTTTTCTTCCTTTTCCTATTCTGAATAGGCAACCTTCATTTCAGGCCTCTGAATAATCCTACTGGAGTCAGTGGGAGTACTCAACTGCTTAAAGTTTTATTGTCTGCTTACTCTGTACTGATCGTGGTCTAAACTATACTGAATGTAAGTGATTAGATGAGTGTTTATTCTCCTTTTTCAAGCTTCACACTGGATAAGAAATTAGCCCAACAGTTTTCACGTGAAAGTTGGAATTTATCTCAATATTTTCATTTTGAAATTCAAGTACTGAATGCAAAAAACACAAGGGTGAAAACAATTAATGCTCTTTCCTGACTTTCTGACATTTTGACTTTCTTTGTGGTCACTGTATTTATGGTTTTAGTCATGCATACGTTCTTATTGTAGATATTTAATCATGAAGAGTGATTAACCAGGACTTAATGGTGAATGGGTCTTGTTCAGATCTGCAGATATGCCTAAAAACTTCCCAGTTTCTCTCCACAATACAACACAATATAGAATGTAAATGCCCTATATGCCACCTTCCGGCAGCAAAGAGAAGTGCCAAGAGTAGATCAACGTCCTTAAAAACTCTTCAGGTTTCTCCTGGTTCTCCTGGGGATTTTGTGTTTTGCTTCTGTTAGTGTGAGTGGGTGTGAGTGTATAAAACCAGAAAATACAATCCATTCTTGATAATTAAGGTCAGAAGGGTCTTTAGATCATCTGCTCTGACCTCTCATACATCATATGCCAATGCATTTTACCCAGTAATCTCCATACTGTACCCAGTAACTGGCTTGACATAAGGATAGCTTATACTATGCTAAGGTATATCTTCCAAAAAATACCTCACTTTGATCTGGAGATATCACAAGCAAGAGAATTCAGCAGTGCCATTGGTAATTTGTCCCAGTGGTTAAGTACATTCTCCAGCAAAAAGATGTGCTTAATTTTTACCTTGAAGATGTCTGAATTCAGCTTCCAGGCACTTGGCCTTGTTACACCTTTCTCTACTAGCTTAAGAAACTGATTAGTACCGTGTATTTCCTCCCCAGAAAAGTACTTTAATTTTGTAACGTAATCATCTTTCAACCTTTTGGGTAAACCCAACACATTGAGCTGTTATAAGTTTCTCACTGTGAGATATATTCTAAACCTCTGGAAGCATTTAAGGTAATTTTTCTTCACTCTCTCAATTTTTTCAGTTACTCTTGTGGATACCAAAGCTCTATGCAGTATTTCAGTATCAATGTCTTTGTATATCCTTATCAGCTGCTCTCTGTTCCTCCAGTTCTGTCTGCTCTGAAGCACATGGTAGAGATACCCAAACTGGCTCTAAATAAAAGCAAACTAGCTCACAGCTCGGTGCTTCCAGGGCAGGTTGCTAACATGGGGTCATATTTATAGCGCTCAGCAGACTGCACTGTAGATCTACTTAGTTCCCATAGTCTCCATCTGCAATACTTTGGTAGCCTGGTGTCTCACAGGACTGCGTGGGGAAAACATGGAAATGGGAGATACTCAGGTGTTAGTAGAGAGGCATACTTGCGGTCAGCTCTCAAAATGTGTAGGATGCCCCAAGTAACTGGTGGTGAGTTATTCTTACTCATACTTGCCTAGTCAGTATTTTCAAAGAATTTTCTTCTTCAGCGTTGATATCAGAGACCAGAAATCAAGTTCTTTTCCCAGTGAGACAACTAACAATTTTTTAGTACAACCAGTAGATGGACCCACACACTGCTACAACCCAATGCCTTCAGTGCATCTCTTTTCACCTTAATAACTCAAAGCTCTTTCATGAGCTTGCTTAGCAAAGTATAAACCCTCTGCACAATTTCCAGAGGGAGGTTTCGTGCATTTGCAGACTCACCAGTTTAACCATGAGCTTCTGTTTCCAGGAGCTTTCTGAAAAAATACAATATTATTAAACTTATGTCATAGTTGTAGGCAAGAATTAGCCTTGAAATCTAAATTGCAATGAGTATAGGGTGATAAAGGTTTTCTACAATTTTCTATTTCAAAGCCATTATGACAGCAGCACTGTTGTATGGTAATATTATTCAATTCTGCAAACATTTATAGGCTGATTAGCCAGTTGAGTAAACATTTATGACACTAAATTTAATTTATGCAGTAATATAGAGGGAATAGTTTCTATCTGAGGCTGCTAAATTGAGATATATGCTTTTGGGAGATCTGTGTACATCATATTAAGTGCTTGTCTTTAATGCAAAAATACTAAAAAGTATAGACAGCTACAATGAATTTATAAAATAAAACCAACCAAATAAAAAGAGAATATGCTAATGATCCAGTCAAATAAGAAACGAGGATGCAGGAGTTCTGCTGAGTAAACCTTATCTGCTTTGGTAATAGAGAGGAATGTGTACGTGTAAAATAGTTCTTGATTTACTAAGCCAGATATTAGTACTCAGGCAGCAAGTGCTGTTAGTTTGGATAGCACACACTGTATTTTTCATATATAACAAAGAGGCAGAATCCCTGCTTCAAGTCTTCAACTACACAGCTGTGACTACTGCGTTTATCATGCAGTCCTTGAACTGGGGAGCGCTGGAGTGATCTCTGTGTTTATAAAACTCAGGATAAGCA